CTTTCTTTCTTTCTTTCTTTCTTTCTTTCTTTCTTTCTTTCCTTCCTGCCTTCCTTCCTTCCTTCCTTCCTTCCTTCCTTCCTTCCTTCCTTCTTTTTTTATTTATTCTCTGTGTCTCTCACTTTTGCTCTATTCTCCGTAGATTATACCCTCCCTGGAGTTTATATGTCAGCACATTTTCAATTAAGTCATTGACATGTCTTTTGAAACCTGGCAAAACCAAGTAAATTTTTTGTCTGAGTATAGTGTGGAGTGCTCTCACTCTTTGTATAATAATAGAGACATTTACTATGAAAATATAGAAAGAATAATAAAGTGGATTTTCCTTGTTAGATAACCCATATATTTTTATCTGTATCTATATACCTATATGCCTATTTGGCTATCCATCCACCTGTCCGCCCACCTGTCCATCTATCCATCCGTCCATCCATCCACCCACCCATCCATCCATCCATCCATCCATTGTATCCCAGCTTTGAATAAGTTCTTATTTTAAAAGTGGCTGAACAATAATGAATACTTAGCATTGGAGTAACAGGTTTAGAAGATCAAAATGCTTCCTCTGTATGATCTTATCCTTTCACTGTGACTTCTAAGATAGCAACCAAGATTGCAGCATGAAGTCATTCAAATAAAGTACCTGTCAAAAACTTCTTAAAGTAGCTGGGTCTTTTTCCCTGGATCACACAGCCGCTCACTCCAGCTGTCATGCAATCCAGAAAAATGTCTCTTTAGATAATGGCAGGGGTCTTCAAACTTGACAGTTTTAAGACTTGTGGACTTTAACTCCCACAATTCCTCCTCCAGTCACGTTATCTCAGGAATTCTGGGAGTTGAAGTCTACAGGTCTTAAACTTGCCATGTTTGAAGACCCTTGGATTAAGGAGTTATAGACAGGTGTTAGGTGCCTGTTCCATAAGCACCTCCTTAAAATCAAATCCAAAGCACTGCGTAGTCTTCTAATCAAATATACTGTAGTTGCCGAAGTGGCAAGAAGCTTGGTGCCTACCAAAGGTTTTGCACTGCAGTTCTCATCTGGCCCATCTAACATGAATAGTTGCAGTGTTTGTTGTCCAAAACATCTGGAAGGCATCACACTGCCTATGCTTGCATAAGATGCTGGTTCTGGATAGAGTTAAGTCCATATAACTATAGCATTATCCTTGAGCTATAGCTAAGCTACATAGTTATTATTTTATTAGATTTTTCTTGAGTTATAGAGAGTCAATTCTATCTCTGCTCTGTCTCTGCCTTCTTTGAATCAAGTGACTGTTTTCACTGGGTAAATGTTGATGTTATTCTACCAATTCTAAAGGCAACCTGTTATTTAGCTCCAAGGTCTTTTAGCTAAGATCAAGTGTGTGTTTATCTCCCTATGTGGTGAAAACAAACAAAAACTAGAACTTTGTCGAGGATTATGAGAGGTCTTGGCACAAGTCTGAAGCATGCTGGTGCCAGTGGTGGGATTCAAAATGTTTTACTACTGGTTCTATGGGCCTGGTGTGGCTTGGTGGGCATGGCTTGGTGGGTATGGCAGGAAAAGTGTTCTGTATATATATTTGCATTCTTGTAAACCCGCACATCTGATTGGCTATACGCACAGCAACCGGATTGGTCGAGCGTGCAGCACTGATTGGCCGTTACGAAGCAACCGCGATTGGCTGAGCCGATCGCGGGTGATTCGAACGGCTGTCATTGGCCACGGCGCCCGGCACCAGTTCAATATAAGCCGCCACACACTCAGCCGGGGGCCAGATTCAACTTGAAATAAAAAGAGCTTTAAACTAGTCACTGCCTCGCGTCTCTTTATGACCGATCGCCCGACTTAACAAAAAGGATACTGTAAAATCTCCATTCCCTCCCCACCCCACTAACCTGCTTTTCAGCTCTGTTCTCCTGTGCAGGACAACCAAAGAAGACCCAGCCGATCAGCTGGGACTCAGGAGTCAGAGAATAGATGGGGGTGGGGCTAGTTAGAGATGGTATTTGCTGGTTCTCCAAACTACTCAAAATTTCTGCTACTGGTTCTCTAGAACTGATCAGAACCTGCTGAATACCACCTCTGGCTGTTGCATCCACAAACCTTTACCAATCTCTTCCTCCACTTACAGCTGTTTAAAATATATCAGCTGCTATTAGGGAGTTTTCTCCAATTTGAGAGAGTTGGATTGGCTTAATAATCTAAGATTACTTAGGACAAAACAGCAGAACAGGAGTGCAAAAGTCTTGGTGCTTTTGTGTACTGTAGTGCGAAGCTAAGCTTTTTTTTTTTTTAAGTCCCTTTTCCTGGTTCTCTGTTGTTTTGTAGATTTCAACTTCTATCGTTAGCTGAACAGGGCTACCTTAAACCTAAATATATCTCAACTTGGGTTCTACTTGAGAAACCTTGACTTTTCCAGTTAAGGGACAGGAAAGGCCCTTGTCTGAAATCCTTGAGGGCATGTTCTTAAAACCTTAGATTTTTAAATTTGACTCTTTTGGCATACTCCTGGAACAATCATGTACCGAACATTGTTTCTTAGTTTTGACTTTGGTAGCCCTTTGAAGTCCTACATGGCATAGGGCCAGGCAACCTCTTTGCTGTTACCTGTACCCATCACATCAGATCTAGCAGGACAGGCACAAAGGGAGGGGGGTGATTTATTTTCCAAAGGATCAGAGGGCAGGACAAGAAACAATGGACAGAAACTTCCTGACAGTGAGGACAATTAACCAGTGGAATGGCTTGCCTTCAGACGTTGTGGGTGGGTTTTACGACAAGACTGAACAGTCACTTGTCTTTATATAGGATCTCCTGTCTTAGCAGGGGGGTAGACTAGAAGACCTCCAAGGTCCCTTCCAGCTCTATTCTGATTGATTGGTTGATTGATTGATTGATTGATTGCATGCCACCGCATCCACAAAAGAAATCTACCTAGGAAGCAAGCCTTTTTCTGCTATGGCACCAATCCTCTGGAATATTACCTGTCCCAAGGTGAGGTTAGCCCCAACCCTTATGGCCTTCCATAAGGCTCCCAAAAGTGGGGATCCCATGGTAAGTTGGGGTCTTTTTCTATTTCAGTTAGAACAAGGAGATCTTTAAAGCTGGAGCTTTAAAATGAACGTTTATATGTCAGCGTGAAACACTGTTGTACAATGGAAAGAAAATTAACCACGGGGGAAACAAAATCTGTTCTTCAACTAGCTTATAGAAATGGAGAGCATCTGATAGTTGTGAGTGATGTAAGCAAGAGGTGAGAAAGTAGTTATACAGGAAAGAACTCAAGTATAGAATTTGCCCCCCGTTCAGCGCTAAAGAGCATTGCAAATTACTGACTGAATGTATAAAGGCAGATAGATAACTCCACAAAGCATCCATACGAAGTATTATTATTGGTTCATCAGGCATCCTCAATATAACTTACAGTTATGTCGAGAGTCATCTCAATGTCCAACTCTTTGCATAGCTGACTTTCTGGTGTTAAAGGATGGTAATCTTTCATCCTCAAAATGAAGGAGCAAGGGGTTGAGGCAGCAGCATGTCCCTGGGTTCCAGGCAAAAGTGAAGGAGCCTCCCCCAACCAACCAGGGGTCAATTCAGTGACCAATCAGGATTACAGATGTGGCCACATGACATGGACTACATTTCCCAGGATACCTTAACTACATTTACCATGATGCGTTCCCTTAAGGGGACAGCTCCCAATTGGTAACTCACTATCCCACTTCCATTAACTATATACTGGCTGGACAGCACACAAATATTAAATTGTATCATTGATTTCCCAAAATGGACTGTATGCCTACAATTATTGTTAAAATTACTTGTTTTGGGTGAACACTGAGTATCAAGCGATAACAATTTCCCTCCTAATTTTTATGCTCTGCTAAAATGAAGGCTTTTTTTTTTGTCTTTCTTAACCACCTCTATAGTGTCCAGCAAACACCATTTTATGGATAGCAACCTGCTCTATCAGTTCCGAATGAATTTCCGCCGCAGGAGGAGATTGATGGAGCTGCTCACCGAGAAGTCCCATTTGGTGCCGGAGAGCCACGATAGCCCCTTTTGCCTGAGGAAGCAAAATCATGACCACAAAAAACACGCCACGTTCCTCTCAGGTACATGTTGGTTTAGCAACAGAGGGTAAATGGAAATTCAGTTGTAAAGTGAATCATCATGTGACCGGACCCACTTTTACGACCTTGAGTGAACGCCACAGTAATCAAATGAACTCCACAGTCGTAAAGCAAATGTTGTAGTAATTAGGTGGAAACTGGAAGTAAACACCAGTTCCGGGGGGGGGGGGGGGGGGGGGGGGATTGCGAAGGACAGTCACGTGACTGTGCAAGGTGGCAAACAGCTTTAAATGTGGGCCCATTGCTGTGGGCCTAAAAATGTGGTTGGAACTTCAGAATTAGTAGTTTTGGGCAAATTTGTCATATTTTGGACAAACGCCAGTTGTATGTCAAGGACTACCTGTATGCATAGGGATTAGTTCAATACCTCTAATTGTACATCATATTTAAGTAACATACAGTATATCTGGATACAGCTCAATGGGGGAACACCAGAGGTGGCGTTCAGCCGGATCTGACCGGTTCTCAAGAACTGGTAGTGGAAATTTTGAGTAGTTCAGAAAACTGGCAAATACCACCTCTGACTGGCCCCGCCCCCATAGATTCTCTGCCTCCTGAGTCCCAGCTGATTGGCTAGGTCTTCTTTTGTTGCCCTGCACAGGAGAACGGAGCTGGAAAGCAGGTTAGTGGGATGGTGAGGGAATGGGATTTTGTAGTAACCTTCCCCCAGGAGTGGGGCAGTAATGGAGATTTCCAGTATCCTTCCTCTGCCACGCCCACCAAGCCATACCACACCAATCAAGCCACGCCCACAGAACCGGTAGTGAAAAAAATTGAATCCCACCACTGGGGAACAGGATTGTTTTTGAAGTATTGCATGGTTTGGATGCCACATGGGAAAACTGGAAGGACCAAAGTCAGACAGAAAAAAAATCCAGAGACTAAGCAGGCCTATACTATAACAGTGGACCAGTGTCCCATCACTGAGAAATAACCAGCTTGATGCACAGGTGGGAAAAAGAAAATATAAGGTTTGAATCTGGGCTCGCATTTTGATGGCTTCAGGGTCATACCTGGCAATTGCTGGTTTTCTTCTCCAATTACATTTTTTCTAGTAGCTATAAATAAAATTAAAACGATCAAAAAGCTATGGCCTACTGACCTTCATTTTGAGGTCTGGGTGAAGTCTTGCATTCCTTCGTTCTATATTTTCTACTTTCTGCTTTCTGCGTTCTGAGAGAGGGGTAAGAATCTGCCTTATTCTGACTCAGAAAGTTGATTCAGTCAGCCAGGTACCATATACCAGTACAGGTAGTCCTTGACTTACAACATATCATTTAGTGACCGTTCAAAGTTACAACGGACACTGAAAATGGTGACTTATGATGGTTTCTCACCCTTATAACTTATGGTAGCAGCATCCCCCATGGTCACGTGATCAAAATTCAGGTGCTTGGCCCCTGGTTCATACTTATGACCGTTGCTGTATCCCAAGGTCATGTGACGCCCTTTTGCAGCCTTCTGACAGGTCAGTGAGGAAGCCAGGTTCACTTAACAACCGAGTTACTAACTTATCAAATGCAGTGATCAAGGGGAGGCAGCTCTTTTATAAAACAAAGGTTCCCCATTCTCACAACCCTTCCTGGACTGGTACCCAAGTCCCCCACCTTGTTACAAGAGTAGCTGGTATGTCAAGCAAAATTGGGTTTGTGACCAGTTTCCCCTGAAGAAGAATATTTTCCTTTTAACTCCTTAGGATGGGGGGGCGGGGGGGGCATCCCCAAACTTGGCAACTTTAAGACGTGTGGACTTCAACTCCCAGAATTCTGCTGGCTGGAGAATTCTGGGAGTTGAAGTCCACACGTCTTAAACAGTGGTGGGATTCAATTTTTTTTTTCTCCCCATTCTGTTAGGCATGGCTTGGTGGGCGTGGCAGCAGAAGGATACTGTAAAATCTCCAGTCAGAGGTGGTATTTGCCGGTTCTCCAAACTACTCAAAATTTCCACTACCGGTTCTCCAGAACTGGTCAGAACCTGCTGAATACCATCTCTGGACTCTTAAAAGTTGCCAAGTTTGCAGAACTCTGCCTTTAGGAAATGAAATGGTTCCAGGAAATTTTTTGTGTATTCACATGAAGTTCATTGTTGTTAATTACACCAGGGTGTTGGCCTTTTAATGCTTGACAAAAGGATGTGGTAGGGAATACGCCCTGCAGGCAACAATTCTTATCCCTGGCAATTCTCTGTTAAAGTATCCGCTGGTAGGACAATCTCATCTGAACTGTTGGCTAAATACAGGAAACCAAAAGGGGGGCAAACACCCTTGTCCTTTGCAGGTAGCACTCGACGGATGACCACAATTGAACCCAAAGTCTCCATTGCTAAGCAAGACGGTTGTTAACTGAGATTTGCACCATTTTGCAATCTTTCTTGCCACAGTAGTTCAGTGGAATCACTGTGGCAATTAACCTAGTAACGTGGTCGTTAAAGTGAATCTGGCTTCCTCATTGACTTTGCTTGTCAGAAGGTTGCAAAAAGGGGAATCACCTGACCGTGGAAAACATGGCAACCGTCATAAATGTGAGTCAGTGGCCAAATGCCTGAATTTTGATCACCTGACCATGGGAACGCTGCAACCATTGTCAGTGTGGGAAAACGGTCATAAGTTGCTATTTTCAGCACCGTTGTAACTTCAGTCACTGAACAATTGATTGTAAGTCAAGGACTGCTTGTACTTATTGTACACATTGGTAAAAAAAATCTATATACCAAATATAAGCTAGGCGGATATGACCTTGTTGATGACCCTCACTCTGTCAAGGACCTTGGAGCAGGGGTGGGATTCAAATTTCTTAACAAATAGTTCTGTGGATGTACCCTAATTTTTGGATGTGGCTTGGTGGTCATGTGACTGGATGGGCATGGCTTGTATGTAAATATTGTAAATATTTATGTAAATATAGAATTTTTTATTTAAAAAAGAGCAACTTTTACCCAAAACAAAGCAAAGTAGGCAGGCAGATTGAGTTGCTTGCAGAATCACTCACAGATCTACCTTTCTGTAATCTGCTGCCTGAGTCTGCACTGAAAAATAGAAAGTTCAATCCTAAGGAAGGTTCAGCTCTGTTCTCAGGCCAGTGGTGTGATTTGCTGGTTCTCTGAACTTTGCAGAATCGTAACAGCTGGTTCTATAGAACTGGTCTGAACCAGCAGAATCCCACCCCTGCCTTGGAGTTCTCATATTGAATGATCTAAGTGCCAAAGCTCACTGCAACAGTATTGCCAAAAAGGCTTTAAGAGTTGTAAATTTAATTTTACAAAGCTTCTCCTCTGGTAATACTGTTTTGCAAACTAGGGTATTCAAAACCTTTGCTAGACCAATACTTGAATTCAGCTCTGCTGTCTGGAATCCGCACTGTATATTCAGACATAAATACAACTGAGCGAGTCCAGAAGTATTTTACCCGAAGAGTACTACATTCCTCTGTTCACAACAGAATACCCTACAGCACCAGACTTGAGATTCTAGACTTAGACAACCTTGAACTATACTGACTAAGATTGGACTTAAGCATAGTACATAAAATCATATGTTACAACATCTTACCAGTTAATGAATATTTCAGCTTTAACCACAACACCACAAGAACACATAACAGATATATATTTAATGTAAACCACACTCCAAACTTGATTGCAGGAAGTATGATTTCAGCAACAGAGTGGTCAATGTCTGGAACTCACTATCTGATTCTGTTGTCACCTGCTCAAACCCCCACTCTTTTACCCTGAAACTAACCTCTATTGACCTCACCCCATTCCTAAGCGGTCTGTAAGCGGCATGCATAAGCACACCATCGTGCCTACCGTCCCTGTCCTATTGTCCCCAATTATTAGTTCCTAGTTCTTATATTTAAACTTATGTTTATTCTTATTTCTATAGTATTGTAAGCTTTTGACAAATCAAATAAATAAAAAAGAAATAATTAAAAAATATTCTTAGGATCACAAACTATTAGCAGCCTCCTGATGGGTAGTACAAAGGGTAAGAAAGCAGAGTGAGGCACATTGATTCTATCATTCAAAGCCACTTCATTCTCACTCCATATTTTCATCCTCCCACGTAGCAGGTTGCGTACACCAATGGTCTTGGGACAACTATTTTTCACAGAGTCAGTGAGAAACATTGCAAAATCAAAGGTTAGTTAGACTATATTGCCCAGAAAAGGTAAAGATTCCCATCCAGTCATGTCTGACTGTAGGGCACAATGCTTCTCTCTGTTTTTTTTAATTTATTTTATTTTGTCAAGCGATTATTAGATAACAGGTGTAAGTATAAACATGGTTATGAATGCATGAAATGGATACGAATAAGAAAAAAAGAAACAATAGGACAGGGACGGTAAGCACAGACCTCTTAGGAAAGGGGTGTGGTCAATAGTAGACAGTCTAAGGTTAAAGTTTTTGGGGTTTGGGGAAGATACCACAGAGTCAGATAGAGTATTCCAGACATTGACCCCTCTGTTGCTGAAGTTGTATTTCGTGCAATCAAGTTTGGTGAGGTTTACCGTGAGTTTGTATATATTGTGTGCTCTTGTGTTGTTATGGTTGAAGCTGAAGTATTCATTGACAGGTAGGACATTGCAATATATAATTTTATATACTATACTTAGATCGGACCGAAGGTGGCGTAGTTCTAAGTTGTCTAGGTCTAAAATTTCAAGTCTGGTGGCAGAAGGTTTTCTGCTATGAGTAGAGGAGTGGAGAACTCTTGTGAAATATTTCTGTTACTTGGCCAAGGGAGCCAATGTGGCCCAAAGACATTTTTCCGTGGTCACACGGCTATACGCTAAAGGTGCGTGGAATGTTGTAACCTTCCCACTGAAGTAGTACCTATTTATCTACTTGCATTTGCATGCTTTCGAGCTGCTAGGTGGGCAGGAGTTGGAGCAAGTCATAGGGAGCTCACTCCATCGCATGACACTCATGTCTTGAACCTGGGCTCTCACCTCTCCAGCTAACAACTTAGGACTAGTTCTTGTACATAATAAACCCCTTTTCAGCGCCTTTAACCACTGGGCCATCGTGCCCCTTTTAGAATGCACAGAAGAAGGGGGCAAAAGGTTTATTATGTACAACTAGTCTTCATACTTCACCTTGTTCAACACCATCATAACTTCAAATGGTTGCTGAACGAGTGGTCATTCCACGAGAGCTACCTGTAACAGGGTTCTGAAATGACAGAGAAACGTAAGGAAAGCAGTCAAGAGACCCCAGGGTGATTCTTGTCTTCTACATAAATCTCCCTCCCTTTTTGGTTTGGACAGTGAGCCCCAGCAAGGAGATCAAGATTGTCTCTGCGGTCAGACGGAGTAGCATGAGCAGCTGTGGCAGCAGCGGGTACTTCAGCAGCAGCCCAACCCTCGGTAGCAGCCCGCCGGTCCTCTGCAACCCAAAATCTGGTAGGACGCTGAGGAATGTTTGCAACAGTGATGGTTTAGGGCAGGGGTGTCAAACTCGATTTCATTGAGGGCTGCATCAGGGTTGTGTTTGGCCTGGGGGGGGGGGCTGGGGGGGTTCTGGCCAGGGTGGTCATGTCCAGCAAGGCATCACTCGTGTTGGGGGTGCCTGTGATGGGCTGAACGCTCTGCCAGCAAAAACGGGCTCCCAAGCTCCGTTTTCGGCTGCGATGGCCTCCTGCAACCCTCTGCCAGCAAAAATGGACCTCGGGAGTACTTCCCATGGCCCTTACGAGCTCCATTTTCGCTGGCAGAGGCAACAAGGGTGGGTCCTTTGCTGCTTCTAGGGCGGCCCTGCAGGCCAGATCTAAGCACCCAGGGGGGTGGATCCAGCCCCCAGGCCTTGAGTTTGACCCCCCCTGGTTTAAGCGGGTCATACCTCTGCATCATTGTGTTTAACGTACACATTTTGTTTCTTTTTTTAAAAAAAATGCAAGTAGCAGGTGCTGAGCTGAGGAATGTAATAATGCTTGTTTGTGGCTATTTATTGGAGGCAAATTTAACCTTTTTTTTGGTTTCCAATTATGAAAATGGGTCAGGAATGGCTGTTTGCCTTGAGCAGAAGTTAATAACTTTGGAGGAGCAATTATCATCCCAGGCAGAATTAAATGCTCACATATAGCTTCAAGTCACATTTGGCTTCTTGAGGTAACAGTGGTTATCTTGGTACTTGTGGACATCCTTATATCCTCAGTATAAAAAATGTTTAAAGACATTTGGTTGCATAACTTACTAGCTTTATGCTCAATATATCTTTCCCATCCCTGCCCTTCCAAATCTTATATCTTGGCAGGAGACAACGGTAATCCATTCTTGCATTGTTGCAAATAACACTTACAGTAGAAACCAGAAGCTGAGTTTGAATGAGCAGAATGGAGTCCTCATTTAGGGCTACGCAGATATTTGGAATTAAAGAGTTTGGAGGATATTTAAGTGTGCACCTAACACCTGTCAGAAACCATATAAAACAGTGTTTTTCAAACTTGGCAATTTTAAGATATGTGGATCTCAATGGCCAGAATTCCCCAGACAGCTTGATATCTAACATTTACTTTATTATTTTTTCCAGATGTGTTAACTCAACCTTATTTACTTTATAAGTAACTCAAGGTGGAGAACATACACAGCACACCTTCCCATTCCTGTTTTCCCCACAACAACAACCCTGTAAGGTGGGTTGGAATCAGAACATGACTGGACGGCTTTCATGCCAAAGCAGGACTAGAACTCACTGTCTCCTGGTTTCTAGCCTACCACTTTAACCAAGGAAACGTTTTGGTCCTAGGTTAAAGTTTTGAACAGTAGATACAGATGAACTCCTAATCATATGTTGCCCTCCAGATCTCGCCACAGTCCTTACCTTTTTACATGCTTGTGGTCCAAGCAATAAAATAAAATGTATATACCATATTTTTTGGACTATAAGATGCTCCGAAGTAGAAGATGCTCCTAGCTTTTGGGGAGGAAAACAAGAAAAGAAATCTGCTTCCCAGCAATTTCCCTCCTTGCAGCAAGCAGCATGGTCAGCTTCAGCACAGCCTGGGTCATGCTCCGGTTGGAATCTGATTTAGAGGGAGAGATGGAACAGCTGGCAGGGAGTGGGAGTGTGGCTGTGGTGGCTGTGGAGGAAACTGGGGAAGGCCACAGGCCGGCTGGCCAGTCAGAGGAAGACTCAGGCCCACCCCCTCTTCATCTTAGGGCATGCAGGGAGGAACGGATAAGGGAGCAATGTAGTTTATGGGGGAGGAAAGGGCCCTGATCCCCTTCATGGGCTGCAGCTGGGAAGACTGTTTAAAAGGGCAAACTGTGCATAGCAAAGTTGCTGGAAGCAAAGTGTGCATTATCTTTATCGAGGCTTATCTGGGTTTTGGTGTCCTCCCAATTGTGCGTGCCTTGTTATCTTTTGGAAGTCTGCAAGTTATTATCCTGGTCTGTCATGTTAATTACTTCAGCATGGTTTGCATTGGTTTTTTTTATTTCTACTTTATCTGTAGATAAAGTATCTGGGTTCAGACTGCATTTCTTCCCTTTGTAGACTGTTTTTGGAAGAGTTTGATCTCCCACCAAGTATAATTGGACATTGTGGGCCAAGTTGGAGTCATTAAAGGGAATTTATCTACTTTGGCGACTTTATTATTTTTGTGCCATGCCCCAGGTCATCCCAGCCTGATTTAGCATGAGCAGCTGATTATCTGTTAGATCGGCCTCCCAACGATCAGCTGTTTCAGGCTGCAGGGATCGCCATCACCTATTACTTGCTCTATGCACTCCATTTTAGGCCTCCTCATCCCATTTTCGGCATCTGCGCACCCCGTTTTCGGCCTGTTCCAGGTGGCAGGGATCGGAACAGGCCAAAAATGGGGCACGTAGAGGCCGAAAACGGGATGCAAAGGCCTGCTGGGAGGCAGAGGCCGAAGAGTGTGGGGTGGCGGATGGGTAGGGCTTCGGCAACATTTGCTGCACAGACAGTTCCACTCACTTTTCGGGGTGTGGGGAGTGCATCTTATACACCCCAAAATATGGTATATAAAAAGCAAAAGTCACTACTGTCTGTCTATGTAGAACAAATAATCAAACTAATCATCATTTGTCTAGACAACAGTGGGCTAAACTCTACAATGGACAACTCCATGTAATACAATATTTCTTTTGGAGACCTGTACAATTTCCATTCAAAAATGAGGAACTGAATTGTCTACAGGCTCCCAATGGTTAAATAAACAGACACACCAGTACTTTCAAAGCTAGCATGGCAAGCTAAAGAGAACCCTGATAAGCTATGTCAGATAAGCTGGGGTGTTTAAATGTTGAAACATTCCAGCAATTTTATATCTCTTGTACATTGTTATTGGCACAATAAAATAAAAATATTGTAAGGCTGTGAGGACTTAGTTGTGTGCCCTGGCCTGAGGCCATGAATATGTTAAGATTCCCGTTTCCTGGTTGTATTAACATCATAATGACAGTTTTATTTAAAGCCACAAACATTTATTTTGTCCTGTTTTTAAGCCTCCCAGACACACTAGTTGAGATGCTCAGCTGTAGAAATAAAATAAAAAATAGATTGTGGGAATAGAAGCCAATTTATTGTTAATGAATTTGAAAGGGAAAGAGTTTTATTTGAGAATCAGGACTTTGCCAGAAAATGTGGAAAAATAAATTGTGAGAAGTGATCTCTGGACCCTGGTGGCGCAGTGGTTAGAATGCAGTATTGCAGTACCTTTGCCCACAACCTGAAGTTTGATCTTGATGGGCTCGAGGTTGACTCAGCTTTCTATCCTTCCGAGGTCGGTAAAATGAGGACCCAGATTGTTGGGGGCAATATGCTGATCTTGTAAATCACTCAGAGAGTGCTGTAAAGCACTGTGGAGCAGTATATAAGTCTAAGTGCTATTGCTATCTTTCCCGGCAACAAATATATTGCATAGGTCCATGATGGCAAACCTATGGCACACGTGCCAGAAGTGACATGCAGAGCCATTTCTGCTGGCACGGGAGAGATCACCTGGAACAGACCCACTGTGCGTGCACACGCGCCCCCCGCCAGCCAGCTGATTGTTGTGTATCTGCCATGCATGTGCAGGGGGCGGGGTGCATGTGGGGGAGTCACATGCATGGGGACGGGGGGGGTCATGCACGCATTGCATTATGGGTGCAGGCACCCATGTGCGCATGCATGCGCACCTTCGGCATAGGTGGTTTGGATATGATTTTTCCACTTAGAAGAGCCTTGTTTGGAAGCATCCTCAAGCTGCGTTCCCAAATCACTATTGACTATGTTGGCATAAGTGCTCAGCTAAAAACAGATTAACTACATTATTTATTCAAATGACCTCTAGGCTAATAGACTTTTCTTAGGTTGACGCAACAAAGGCAACCACTTGTCTTGCTGTGTGTTTTGACACTTGTAGCCTACTGTCAGATCCATGTATCTGCCATCCTTCAATGGAAGAAGAAGCGGGGAGGGAAGTTGGTAAAAGAAATCCTTTTTTGATGTAACTTGAATATATTAAATCTTATATTGAATTTGTATAACCTACATTTGATATACAACTGAGAGACTGAAACCAGATGCCCTGGAAAACTGTCACCTCTGGAAGAGACAGCAAAAGAGAAGGGACCATAAAAATTCCAGCCAGGAGATGTTTCCTGAGAAACCCTTCAGAAGATCGTTCTCAGAAGAGGGGAGGGGAAATTAACATGTTGATTCTTTGTTTTACAAAATACACATCAAGATAAGGGGAGGGGTCTTAAACTCCCTTATCTATCACTGCATGTCTGGGAGACGTTAGACGCTGCTTTTGAATCCCTACTTGAATTGTCTCATCTCAACAAAGGATTCCTTTTGAAACACCTAGATTTCAGACGTTCATTCTTGTCGATTGAAATGGGAAAAGTTCAGTAGCCTGACACCGACAGTGTTTGTGAACATTGACTAAGCAGCAATAAGTTTGATTTTAGCAACAATTCTTCATGGATTCCCCACATGGTCATCCTTCATCTAACATTCAATGCTGTCTTTGTTGAATTCACAGCACTGATGATATGTGAATAGACAGTGATGGGGAGATTGCTGCCGTGTCTCTCAAGCCCTGGTTAGAACTTAGAGATGCTTTTAGGTCAGTGTTTTTCAACTTTTTCAACTTCAACTTGAAGATATGTGGACTTCAAATCCCAGAATTCCCCAGCCAATATGCTTCTTCAAGTTGTCAAATCTGAGAAACACGATTCTAGAAGCAGCCTGAAGGGTTTTTATTTATTTTTTATTTGTCTCTTCTTACTGTATTTTTTGTTTAAATAAAAAGGTGAACAAATTGAATATACGTGACAGGATTCCCAATGCCTGAACACTTCTCAAATGGCATCTTCTAGGCCGGGGTGTCAAACTTGATTTGATTGAAGGCCAGCCACATCAGGGTTATGTTTGACCTTGGGGGTCCGGG